GTCAGTTATGGGTGCCACTATAGTACTAAAATTCCTAATAAACCTCCGATAGAATGTGGTCAATCCATGAAAACTACGAACATCTCTTATAGTTTTAGGCTCAGGCCACTCGTTGATCGCTCTAACCTTCTCGGGGTCGGCCGAGATTCCTCGAGATGAGATTATAAATCTGAGATAGGTCACACTATCAGTAAGAAACACATACTTCTGAGGGTTCGCATATAACTGTTCTTTCCTCAAAATCTCACATACTTGTTTCAAATGTCCCAAATGTTGGTCTACAGATTTACTATAGATTAGGATATCATCAAAATAGACGACTACGAATTTTCCGAGGAAGGGTCGTAGGACTTGGGTCATAATCCGCATGAAAGTGCTAGGAGCGTTACTAAGACCAAAAGGCATGACCATCCATTCATACAACCCGTCTTTTGTCTTAAAGGCCGTTTTCCATTCATCCCCCGGGCGGATCCTGATCTGATGATATCCGCTCTTAAGATCAACCTTAGAGAACAGCATTACCCCTGTCATCATATCGAGCATGTCATCTAGTCGGGGAATCGGAAAGCGATATTTAACGGTATCTTGTTGATAGCACGGCTATCAACACACATTCTCCAAGAGCCGTCTTTCTTGGGAGTTAGGAGGGCAGGAACGGCACATGGGCTAATGCTTTCTTTAATAAATCCTCGTTGTAGAAGTTCATCTACTTGCCTTTTTAGCTCAGCGTGCTCCGTTGGGTTCATCCGGTAGTGAGGGAGGTTAGGCAGGGATGCTCCAGGAACCAAGTCAATGACATGTTGGATGTCTCTAAGGGGTGGAAGTTGGTCAGGTAGCTCCTCGGGGAAGACATCAGCAAATTTCTCTAGAAGGGGTTTTACTTCTTCGGGGATTTGCCCTTCATGATCATCATCCACTTCCCTAGCTACCAGGGCGTACATGGGTGATCCGTGGTGAATTTCCAAGTCCACTTCTTTCGCAGTTAAGAAGTGTAAGCCTTTATTAGGCTTAGGGGGAACAACTTTAGTTTCACTCTTATCGGGTCGGGGCTGTGAGTGAATCAACTTAATATTCTTTCCGTTGTGCTCGAACACGCAGGTGTTCGTCCTCCCATAAATGTGGACATCGTTGTCAAACAGCCAAGGACGACCAAGGATAAATTGGCCCACATCCATTGTCAACACTTCACACCAAATCTTCTCCTGATATCCATTAAACTCGAGCGGGATAAGGCTCCTATCTTTGATTTCCATGGACGTTGAGTTAATCCAGGCGACCTTATACGGATTTGGGTGAGGTGTGGCCTTAATGTTGAGCTTAGAAATCATCGCTGAAGAGACAGCGTTGATGCAGCTTCCGCTATCGACAATAACCTTACAGTTCTTATCCCCGATCTTAGTAAAGGTATGGAAAATGGATGTTCTTCTCCAATCATCACTCGGTTTAGGTTGGGACAGTGCACATCTAATGACTTGCAGGGTGACAGGTTCATCCTCTGTAAAAGAATCTTCCTCTTCATCCACATGGTGAACTAAGTCAGTCTCGGGTTCGTCCTCGTCGTCATCAACCTCTTCTATTATGGTGACCTTATAGGGACTGGAACATTGCGAGGCAATGTGCCCATACCCATGACACCTATAACATTTGGTTCCAGAATTGGGTTTTGGGGTGTCACGTTCAGGTGCTTTACCCTTAAGGTCTGGATGATGAGGGGCTGAACTAGCAGCGGGTCGGCTACCGGTGGAGTTTGTGGGTCGGCTTTGAGGCTGGCTGGTGGAAGAGCGATACGGGTTGGGTCGGGAGTCAAACTGCCTAGTGTGGGAATGGGTTTTGGACTCCTCTAAGTCAAGTACCAGGCTGCAGGCGGCCTCTAACGTGTCTATTCCTCTAGCAAACAGTTCAGTGCGAAGATCTTCCCGAAGGCTAGCTCTAAACATAGACAAGATCTGTGTTGGGGTAGCGGATTCCTCGCCGTTGCAACGAATCAGGAAATCGTCGAAGGCGGAGATGTAATCTTTGACTGACTTGCTCCCCTGGGTTAGTCGATTCCACTTATCTAGAAGCTTAGGGTAGTAGGAAGGCGGTAAATAGTTTCTCCTAAGTTCCTGTTTCATAGTCCTCCAATCGTTTATCGGATGTTCTCCTCGAGATTCGCGCATGTTTTCCAAGTCGGTCTAGTAAAGGTTGGCTCGACCATTGAGTTTCATTTCAGTGAATCTGACTTTCTTCGCTTCCGAGATGTTGTACCATTTAAAGTAGCTATCCATCGATTTGAGCCAACCAGGAAAACTTGAGGGTCAAGGGTCCCGTCATATGTTGGGGCGTCAATCCTAATGTTTTTCAGTAATTGAGCGTCGTTGTCTCTCCAGGGGTCGTCGTTTCCTATGGGCTCTTGATGGGGTCTTAGGTTATGTCGATAATGGTCTTGGAAGTGTCCGGGATCGCGAGGTTGTTCACGATCGGGTCGATTGTCGTCGCCATAAGGTGATTGAGGTCTCGAAGGCGTGTAGATCGCAGGGTTTCTCATGCGCTCAATATTATCTAGACGGTCACTTGTATGGCGTCGAAAATCAGCTAAATTTGTTTGGGTGTTGCGGATCTGTTGCGTAACCGATACTAATTGTCCAACGATGAGGTCTAACGTCGCTTGCAAGTGTTCGGGATCCATTGGTTCGGGTTGGGGCTGGTTAGGGACGGTTTAGAGGTGGGGTCAGCACCTATACTCGCGGCTAGCTGGCTCCTAAAGCTTCTAACTGCTGCTGGAAGACTCGGGACAGCAACCTAACACAAGGTGGCACGTGTCTAGCAAGTTTAAGGTTGGAAGCTAAGTGTGGACAGCAACTAAGACAACTTTCCGGTCAATTATAAGTCTCTAACATGTGCAGAATTTGAGTGGACAGCAAAAGTACACGACTAGGAAACTTTTTCTAAGTGTTGAAAGTGACTCCTAATGTGTGGACAGCACCTATGACTTAAGTTAGAAACTCCCAGGACCGATAGACACTGCAGGAATTAAAAGGCAGCAGCCAAAACAATTGTTTAGATTCCCTAAACAGTGATTAGCAGCTGCAGGAATGTGAGGACAGCAGGGATAAAACAAGCCGTAGCTGTTCTAAACACTTAGGAATCTACCAAACAAAAGGCCAACACTAAGATGCTATCTAGAATGTCCTAGTTCAGCTATATGCTTGCTTGAAATGCCAAAAACAGTAACAAAACAGTGAAAATAAATTATCTAAGCAATGATATGCATGAAATTCTTGAACTACCGCAAGGAACTAGACCCTAGGATGCTTTTTATGCATGTCAAGCATGGTAATCATGCTCTGATACCAAAATGATGTGATGCATGGATGGAGTTACACAAGAGTTAAAAGAGAATTAAATTCTAGCTCAACCAATGATATAATCATGTATCAAAGTTAATTCGATTACAAGAAATTCATGATGTTCAACTTGCTAGGCATAGAAATTTCAACAAGATAGCCAAACTATTTAAACAATTGCAAAGGAAAACATAAGCCTACGACTAGTAAATAAAAATCCCACAATTAATACGGAGTTGTTCACACCTTGAGACCTTTATCCACCCTTCCTACGGAGACTAAGTTGAGCGGCGGAAGATTGTCCAGACTAGCATCGAGG